AAAAAAACCTGTAGACTTACAGGTATGTATGTATTCGAAGTAACAGAAAACATGCTACATAAAAGAGCAAGAATAAAAATCACACCAAAAAAAAGAAAAAAATACTTTTTTTTTTTCTTCTAGTGAAACTACAGGACCACGCAGTTGAAATTTCTGTATAGTTACAGTATTGCGATAACTATGGTGTCTAAGTCCAACGAAAGCAACAAATATCCTTTGCTTCATTCTCTAACTCTTCCTAATGGCTTCAGAAGCTTCTCTGAGCCAGGATATACATATCCTTAGAAGATAACTTGTGTCATCAACTACTTCGCTATGCTTAAAGTGAGCAAATATGTAGCTAAGGACTTGGAGACAAGTGATAGAAGTGACAGTAAATACAAAATATCATTGTTCTTACTGGGTTCTTTTGTGGGAAGCCTGGGGAGTAAGAAATGCAAACAATGGGAAACAGTAATCTGCTCTGTATAGAAATGTTTTCTTTTTTTTTTTCTCACTTTTCTCTGTTGCCCTGAAAATGGCTAAGAGAGAGAAGGACTTATGGCAAAGTGGAATGGAGCAACTTAACAAGTTACAGAATATATTCCCCAGTCCTTATCACTTTACCAAATGCTGCCTTCAAAACTCACACTTTAGGCTTCTGACATTGAAATTTATCTCCTCTGTTACAATCTTATCATAATTAAGTTTCCCTTTTCTATTAGCCTGAGTGTTACAAACACAACTTAATCCTCCCTGTGCCCTCTCATTTCCTGTCCAAACTCCCTTTTGAATGGTTGTAACATTAAGAAAGATCAACATGATGGAATGGTGATAGAAGAGGCCTAATGACGAAGTGCAATGCAAAGGTGTTACAAAAGGAAAAGCTCTCACTCATCTCTGAAGATCCAGGCTCACGAGGGAAACTCCCCAAGGGAGGGATTTCCAACCAAAAATCCTTCCCCTGTGGCAGTCAGACCTTAAGTGAGGTCTAAGAGAGGTGCAGCCAGGCTCCACCCCTTCCAGCCTCACACATCAATTGCCTTCACCTGTGCTCCCAGCACTGACCAGGTCCTTTCCCCAGGTGCTCAATCCGTGGTTCAGGCTGTGACTCAGCAGTTCCCATACAATGGTCATACAGATCAACATCATTATTGCTCTGTTTTCTAGAACTTTCAAGACCCTGCTGCCTAGGAGCAGCGTTGGAGGATGATGATTATTTATCTATGTAACAGAATTTCAGTGAATTTACTTTTCTCTGGTTACAGCAGCCACATTAAAACACACCAGATCTACAGAAAACTTCAGCTGGTGATCTATGATTTAATAAGTCTAATTCGCTTGACTTTTACTTCTTGTTTCTCCGACCACTGATAATCCTGTGGAGGAGCAAGAGCTTTTTACTATTATGTTGTCTATATAGAAGGTATGGACTTTCCACCAGTGAATTTTGATGTTAAATGCTATGTTCAGAGCTGTGGTTTTTTTTTTTTTCTTTTTTTTTTTTTAAAGGAATTCATAGCCATTGATTTCTAATTGAATGGTTTGCTCATAAACTCATTGTTCAAATGCCTTTTTGATTCTCGTTCTAGCAAACTCCTAATCTGCGCAGTAATTTTTTGCCCATTTGTCCTTAGTTTTAAATTGTGCCTCGTAACGAAGTAAAATGGCCTCCAAATGGGCACTGTAAGAAATCCTGGGCTCTGTCCTCATTGAATTGAAAGCTGAAAGGGCAGCTGCCTCTGGAACAGCACGCACAGTGGGACCAGCTAAGATAGTCAGTCTGTTTGCCCTTTCCTCACAGAAAAGCTTTTCTTAATTAAGGGTAAATATGTACAATGAACACTTATTCGGTGTTAAAAGGAAGATTCAATAACTCACACAAATTCATATGGTCTATTTGAGTGACTTACAGTTTCAGTTATGCATTGTAACATTAAACAGCATTACTGAGACTCCATGCTCAGAGCTAACTGCAACCAACTAGGGGAGCTCAGAAAACCACACAAGTATCCTCAGAAGTCAATGAGAACAAAGATGAGCCCTTGGAAAAAATTATGCAAGATTTTTAGGGTCTGTTTTTCTTCTTTTTATTATTATTTCAGTTATTAGTTTGAGAAAACACCACCTAATGACAAATAATAGGCTCTTTTCTAGTTATTAGGATTTTAGATTTCTGTAAGATCCCCTACAAGTTGAACTGACTAAGTAACTATCTCATAAATAGGACAACAATGGAACTAAAACCCAAATACAAGCATTAGCTTGTCAGTACCCTGCATTTTTTCCACCGTGGCCAGAAGTTGGAGCCTTCTACTTACGTGCTATTGTATAATTACTCATTGTTCTTTTTACCCATCTTGTGAGAGCTTCAATTACATGCTTGGAAACAAATGATTAGGGTATCCAAAGCATTGGTTGCCCTGATACATGAAACAAAAAGGTTAATTACTGCCAACATCTGAACATACTTCTTATTAACAGCAGGTATAAGTAGATAATAACCAGTTCTTAAGTGTTTATTGATACTGAAGAACATGTCCTCTGTGTGTGATATTCACCCCAAAACATCCGATTGGCACCACTTTCTGATTGGTCTTGTGCCTGTCTATAACTCAGTAGCATTACGGAATAAGAAACCTGTAACATGACAAGATTTTTCATGATTATGAGCAGTAGCTTGGCAATGGAATTCTCCTTTACGTGCCACTTTCAAAAAGATCTTACAGTTCAAGCAGGACAGTTTTGATCACCCTTTTAAAGTGGTTTAAAGAGTCCAATTTCTTTGTCAAGGTTCTCAGAGAAAGAAGGCAATTTCTCAAGGCGCGCAATATTAGTCCCCAGCCTATCAGTCACTGTTACGAGCCAAGCCTTGAGAGTCTGATGGCTGAGGTCTATTAACTGCTCACAAGATTGATAACAGGCTAAGTTGCAAAGGAAACGTTAGATATCCAATCAGTTTGACAATCTCTTAAACTTCTAGCAATACTGCAGCAGAACAGACGTTGCTTGATGCACACAGATTTTTAGTCAGAAACTATTTTTCATTTGTAATTCCATAAACAAAGAGAAAGGTAACTGCATGTGCACAAGCCAGGAAGCTGAAGCCCTTCTCTTCTGTTACTTAGTCTCAACTCAGAACATTTGCTTTGTCTCAATTGGGAAATTACAGTGAGAAATAACAGCCTGTGTAGTTGTTTCATTCGGTGCAGTCATTATGCAACTGTAATGCATTAATAAACAAAACTTAATTAGGGTAAGCTGGAGCAATATCATCCAGTATTTTAATCTCACAGCTGAAATTATTTGAAAAATTCTTCGTATTACAACACATAAGAAAACGCAGGAAAAATACCTGTAAGAAGTTGGGCAATTTCAAGCCAAACCCATTCTTTCAGTTTTAAATGTCAGAGTTCAGAAAGTGACAGTGTCTCAACACATTCAGATAAAAAGGTGTGTGGAGGTAGAGCTTGTCAGGAAAGCAGCCTTCTGCTCCCAAAAGGGCTAGGAACAACAGAAAAAGGCAGATCTCTGCAAAGGAGTTCAAGAGCAATAGGAATTCTGATGTACTTCAAGCCCAGTCAGTTCTGACTCTGCCCATCATCTCAGCTTTTTTTCTAAATAATACTCCATATTTCATTCACACTACTTGCGTGAGCCACGAGCACTTCACTCTTTACAGTGGTTTTCTGCAACTTCGCTTACATCTCTTCCCAAAGTAATTAATGTTGCAGTTAATTCTAATGAATCCCTCAGAGTTAATGTCATTGTATGCTAATTCCCATACTGCAACTGCAAAGAGCACAGGTGTAGACAGAACTCTTCAACTGTATGATGCTGTACATGTCAGTGTAGTATCTCTCTTAACACATTTTAAGACAGATACTGTGTTTTACCAAAAAACAGACAGAGCTTTCTTGACATCGATTAGTTCTAAATGTTAGCAAAATCAGAATCAAAGACTAGATCTCAATGAGCCAGGCATCACATGCCCAACTATAATTGCTTACCCCACAGTAGAGATTCTTTTATTTTCATGCAAACTGTAGATACAAAAATTTCAGTATTTGGAAGTTCTTAGTATCCAATCAATATTAATAGCCCTTGAAAATTCCTCAAGTAGGGCTAAAAGCTTTTTTAGGTAAAAGGGGAAAAAAAAGCAACACCGAGGTCTGAGTGCTGTAAGGACTACTGACATAATGGTCACACTGCTCTTCCCCTTTCCAATGACCTGGTTTCTCTACGGGTAAGAAAGACTGCCACTTGCTTCTATTGCACTTCAATGCACACATTAACTTAAATGTGATATACTACTTCAAAAGATCTCAGGGTTCACTTCATATTGGAATAACTATAATTTTTTATTATTATTATTATTATTATTCAAAGTAGTCCTGTCTTGCCTTTTAGATGATACAGAATAAAGTAATAAAGCTTGTTTTACTGCAATCATGTGGGGCCCTGACTCCTAAACATCCAGACTGAGACAACGTAGTCCTTCCTTGCATCAGTGGATGTACATTTTTTAAATGCTATTCCCACCACTACTGAAGCCTCATAAATTGTTTACTTCTACAAGGGTAGAGACCTGAAAATAATGTAAACAAACAAACAAGCAAGCTCCCAACACCATATCTGGGCAAAGTCCTTCAAATCATGCAATGTGCTTTTCTTAATTTCTTCGTCAATTCATAAGATAATACACTAGACATTAACAGATTTAAACAGACCACAGAGGAAAAGCAAGTAATTCACTGGAATGTTACTGTTTTATCATAATGTTAAAGAAGTAATTCTAAGCATGACTCAGATGTAGTATAAGAGGTTGGTTTCCTTTTTTTTTTTTTTTTTTAAATCTTAGACACTGTATTTGCTACCTAGATGCCATGAATTAAAATAACTATGAGCACAGTCATAATTAGACTCAACAACAACATACAATGATTCTTTTGAAAAAGAACACATTCTTCACCATGTACGATGGACAATGAACTCTGTACCACTAAGACACCCTGCAATGATCCTTGTGAACAAAAATCCCTTTATTTTTTTTTTTACACTGTAAAAATATTTTCAGACACCTATGAACTGCATTTCTTAGCATACTCATGTCTCTTGCCATACTAGTCATCTCACATCGAAATCTGTCCCTGCATTCTGCCTATTCTGACAAGTTCCAGTGGTGCCTGTAAAAAGGATAAAGCAAATTTGTCTATAAAAAGTTGAAAATATTCTTTCTTTAATAAATCACTGAGCTGAAATAATTACACTCATCCACCTTCTTCTTTACAAGAAGTTTGGCTATCTCTCCGTATTCTCTTTTCCAAAGAGTCATCCTAAAATGAAACATTAAGAAGCTCTGAAACAAATACTTTTCTTTCCCTAAAAGGTCAGCAGAGAAGTTTAAAATGTACATTGATGAATGAACATATACTGCCAGACAGATTCAAACGAAAGCAAAAAGCCACTGTAATGAATGCACAATTAACGAGAAAATTGTCGATTGTCTGATTTCTTGCTGATGTGTTTGAAGATTTTAGCTTTGTGGACACTCTTTGGTTTCTGGTAACCAAATCCTCCACCTCCACCTCTTTTCTGCAGCCTTCTGCCTTGGTTGCTGTTCACACCTGGAATTTCATGGGTTAAAGAGCATAACAAAAGCCTTAACTGAAGCATTGCTTATTGGGTACTGCGAGCATTATTAAGAAGAGAAAAAAGTATTACACAAAACACACACAATTGTGTTATGGGTGGACCTGTCATCCTACTGAACGCTTTTATTCTTACAGCTGTCCAATTAATTCAACTAAAGAACAACTACTCCAACTCCTCTCCCTCCACTGGCACCTTTGACCCACGCCCCTCTATTTCAGTACAGACCTCTAGAACATGCATGCAATATTCCAGCACCTACAAGGCTGCAGCATCTGAAGTCCCTACCCATATTAAAGCAGATATGTGTAAGCAATTATTAAAACAGGAAAAATTGCCATTTAACATTTTCATTATTTGGACATGCTGCACGTACGTGACTATTAGCAATACTAAATAAAACCCAACAAAGAACACAGAATTTGAAACAGCATACCTACTTCCATAAGTTGCAATTAACATTTTTTAAAGCGGGAATTCAGCTTTGAAACACAGCAGTAAAAGGATACTGAGGTCAACGTATGGAGGGACTTTAAAGCCAAAAGAGAGGCTGACTTTGTTAAGATCCAAGTTCCCCACATTATAGATCTGCTTCAGAGAATGGGAGTCATAAGCTCGAATGTAAGCTTTGTATGCTTCCTGGGCTGACTTGTGAAGGAAGTAGTTCTTCTCAATCAGTTTCTCCAGCTGATGAGAAAGAAAAAAAGAGACATTATGGAATTATGGCTATAACAATAAGTTAAATGCAAGCCAATTATTTACTGTGTGCACTGCAGTGACATTCATTACTCACTTTAGTAAGACTCTACTGTGACAGCAGAGCACACATCTACAGTGCTTTTACAACCAGGCACTAAAGCCTGAAGCTGAATTATTGTACAAATCTCTAGCAATGAGAAAGTTTACAAAAACATTAAATTAGGTTGTCCTAATGAAGCTCATTGAGAGGAGAATCATGATTCTATGAGTAAATAACTACAGTCGCAGTTACGTGCACTGAGAATTGACAATGACAATACACTTAAGTCAGACATCTAAACTGTACCATTCCATATAATTTTGCTTATAGCTCTATCTAAAATGCAGGAAATTCACCATAAAAAGCACAGTATTATTTTTAAGACAAAAATGAAGATGCACTAATTTAGACTGAAGTATTTTATTTGTTGAGGGCTAAGTTCCCAAAGCTTAGATCTGAGTGTCTCACTTGACTGCAACAATTTGGCAAACTAATATTAAGTCACAAATTAGGCATTAGTACTTCCTAACTATTATTAAGAACTAACAGAGATTCTGTAAGGACTGTCCTCACTGCTTCTGGTATTTACTATGTCAAATTTAAGTTATTACAAAGAAACTTCACACAGCTCTTAAGAAAATGATTCACAGAACTAAATAAAAATAAAAATTCACATCTACAGAGCTATCTATGCTATTCTCTTCTACTTTGTCCTCCGTGGTAATTTTTGTTGGATAGAAGCACGTGCCAAGTTTGGCTGACACCAGGCTTCATTAATACCAGCTTGATAAAAATATACCTGGAACATATACTGGCATTTCTAGGTGTTGGTACTGGATTTCTTTATGAATGCTGAAGGCTGAGCAAATCATCTTGTAAAAGATTAGATACTCAGAATTAATGTAAGCATGCATAACCATTTAATAAAAGCTACTGGAAACACTATATGCTGTCTAGAGAATATTCTATTCAAAAGCTGAAAGCATATTTGCACCACTATGATTTTGCAATGTACTGTGGAAAAAAGAATCCTCACAAGCAAATGCATATGGTGCAATATCAGCAATTTAGTACTGGATATTAAAATTCTTCATTTCATACCTGAGACTGGATATCTGAAATCTTTGACCAGGAAAACTCAAATTCACTGAGTGGTACCTTAGAAGAATAAATGAATAAATGCATAATCTAGATTATTTCTATCATACAAACAATAAGACATAAGACAAATAAGAACAGACCTGACAGAAATATAAGACTTTTTTTTTTTTTAAATAACACAGCTTTATTTATCAATGAATCTGAAGTCCAAGAGCACACTTTAAATTAAACCTTACATGCTTTTAGGTCTTTGATATCTTCAACTTAAAACAACGACAACGACATTAGTAACCCTTATCAGAAATATATTCACTGAAATTGCCTCTGCATAAAGAGGCCAGCATTATATTTCCCTTAAATTACAGTAATAAAGATATTTTTTATGACCCTTTCACTGCTTTAATTACAAATAACAAAAATCTGGACTGTAAACAACTCCATAAGGAAAGCCCCTATGAACCTATGAGCAGTTCTCTCTTATTAAAATGGTTACATTTGAAAGAAAGCTACCCATCTTTTGGAATTGAAAAAAAAAATGCCATTATTTTAATAGAAAAATAAGAACTGCACTGGCCAAGCTTCCAGTATCTTTTCATGAAGAGGTCATGGGAAAATTGTATTTTAATAATGCACACTGCACAGCTGCAAAGCAACTGTTAATACACACAGTCACCTTCGAGTCTAAGAGTCAGCAGAATAGAGCCAAATGTTCAGTTACATATTTTGTAAGTGACAGAATTATTTGTGCTCAGAAGTTAAAATGTTTTGTTAATCATTAAGGTTTTTGCCTTTAAAATCATGACTGCACAGTAAAAACAAAAAAACAAAAAGGAATTCTAGAGCTAAGTTTACCCTGGCTTGTTTCAGGTAACGAAGGAAGCCCAGTTCTTCTGGACGTAAAATGAGCAGAGCATGTCCTCTACCATTTATACCTCTGGCAGTTCTACCAACACGATGAATATACTCCTTTTGCAGAGAGAAAAGAAAACAGTTAAGCCCAGGCAGTCTCTCATATCAGCAGCAATACAAACAGTTTTATGAAAAAAGCATTTAACATTAACAGTGTCAGCAACATCTGTTTTGTTTCAAAACTTTCTTAGCACTGACATACAGACGAGGCAATCCAAGTGCTGATGAAGCAAAGCACAGAACTAGTTGAGACAGAAATCCCTGACTAGAAGCATCTTACCTCCTACTGAAGAAAAAAGAACCTTAGCCTAACGCCACTGAAAACTTAACTTTACTTGCTATGTTTGTCAAGGTATCTAAGTTTTTAAGTCTTTTTTGTTTGCATTGGACATTTTTTCAAATGAGAATTCTAATTTTTAAATAATCAAGCTTTTAATGGAAAAGCTGTTACGAGACTCAAGCACGTATATATAAATTCATACTCCTAAGAGGTATTTTTTTTGTTGTTTAGCTTATTGGATTTTAAATTACTTTGATAACATAAAGAGTTATGTTCTATGTCTTCACTAGCTGCAGCACTTCCCAGGATCTGGTGGAGATCAGTGGATGAAATCAGCTGCCAGATGTGAATGCAGCTGAATTCTGACCTCTGTCGAGCAGAAGATTCAGGTTGTCTCTGCAGCGACACTCGCAGCTAGGATTTGAAGGTATTTTTATTTCCATAACTTACTTTTGGATCATCTGGAGGGTCATACTGGACAATCCAGTCCACCTCAGGAATATCCAGTCCTCTGGCAGCTACATCAGTGCACAGCAGGATTCCAGATTCTGCATTACAGAACTGGAAAAATGTTGTAGTACGTTTTGTCTGTTTCTGCTTGCCCTAAAACCAAAAAACAAATCAAACAAAACAAGAAAATAACCCAAAGAACACATATATTAAGAATGTCACTAGAAACACCTTGCCAGTTTGTAAGCTTGCATGTAATTTCTCATTTCTCATACTATATCACTGCCAAAAAATATAAAATACTTCAGGGCATCTTTCTACCTTGTGGATTTGCACAGACCAAGCAGAACAATTTCACAGTGAAGAAGCAATGCTATCACAGAAAACTGGTACCTTCAGAGGTTACAGTGTATATTCAAAGCATTAAAAACTCAAATTACTTAAGTATTACTTTCAGAGTGACTGCATGGAAACCTGATGTTTAGAAACAGTCATTACCAGATTCAATAAAAATAAATCAACACATAAAAATACTTACATGAATGGCCAAAACAGGCAAATCAATGTAGTTGAGTAATTCATAGTGGTACTTCACTGACATACACGAAGAAAAAAATACCATTAGTTTCTTCTTCCTGTTCTTCTTCAGGAACGTGAAGAGCAAAAGGAATCTTTTCTCAGATGGGCACACTACATAGCCCTGGAAATTATTTAAACATTGTTAAACAGTACAGAACACACTTTTTGCAGAGGACTATTAGCAAAAGTTAATCTTCCAGCTACACAGAATGAAGCCAACTGATTTACTGTCTGTTTCTCACTTTGTTATATCAAACTCCTTAAACACTGGTGACAGCAAAAACTTACTCTACAAACTACAGAAGAATTTTATTGAATTCTTGCTACTAGTCGACTCCTTAAAGGTAATATCTACCTACTGGTATTTTAAAACAATTATCATTTTATCAACTGCACGAACCTAGAAACTAAGGTGCAATTCCATTTAGCCACCATCTTAAGTAGAAAAAAACCAAAATCTCAAGTGTTCTCTAGTCAGTAACACAGTACTTAATACAGACAGGTACGTAATATAGACAGTAGTTAGAAACTGTAACTAACCATATTATTACTTCATGAATTTCTTACATAACCTTTAAGACAGAGTGAATAAAACCTTTCAGGTAACTCCACTTTTGCCCAGTAGGATGTTAAACACTTCAAGGGATGGGCATTTATACAACCCATCTAAAAAGAACGTAGGGCCTGTTGGTTTTTCTTAGACCCCTTTAAGTAACATTTATGTTTTACCTGTTCAAGACCATCTACTGTTGCTGTCTCCTTGTTATCATCAACTCCTACATACAGTGGTTCTTTCTTCAGAGAGATCTTGGCTAGATCTTCCACCTTCCTGGTTTGCGTAGCAGAAAACAGCATCGTCTGTCTGCGCTCTGAAGATGGATTATAAGAATGCTTAGTTTTTTAAATGAGAATTCAAATAGCAAGTACTTCAAATCTTCAGTTGCAAACTCCATTGCAGCAATTCTTCACCTTTTTTCCATTAATTTAAAATATACTACTACTGATAAAGAAAGGCAGGTATTGTTATGTTGTGTATTGCATTGCACAATATTCACTTCAGCTGCCACCGTCTCCAAAAATCTTAATGCACTTCAGCTTTGCTAAACTTTTCTTAGACAATCCATAACACATTTTTGCATGTTTGGCACGTGGCTGTGCATCTTCAATGGGTCTTCCAGCAGGTGTACCCAACCAACTGCCTGCCTATCATATCCCAGCATAAATATACAGCCTGATACCGTAACATTTTCTTATTACTAGAGTACAGCAAAAATGCACTTAGCCTGTTCAATTTTACAGCTACAAGAACTGCACCAATTGGTCTCGTGGAATAACTGGTGACACCATTTTCAGAAAGATTTCTGTTATTTTGAGTGTTTTAAAATAAATTCCTTCTCAGGGAAGGAAAACAAACTAAAATCAAGCAAGACAGAAATCTTTCATCTATTGCTTCCCAAAGTCATTTTCCCCACTCTTCTTTCACTTAGTTTTAGTGCTGATTATTTGCATTCTTCAAAGGATGTTAGTTACAAAGAATAACTAAACAAAAGTAAAGAAGAGAAGTAGGGTATTCATTAATCTCTCCAGAACAATACTTTCAAAAAAATCCAATTGCATAGACAGATCTTTTTCTTATTACTTCCTTATTTAATCCCTAATTTACTTCCTAATTAGGAAATAACGAATAGCAGGAAATAAGAAAGATGAATGAGAAACAGTAGGCATTAACCTAAATGTTTTTATATGAACAAAATCACATTCCTATAGTACGTAAGGACACAGAAAACCACGTCCTTCAGATACATGATGCTAAATAGTATACTTTAGCTACCAGAAAAAATGGACAGAGTTAAGACACTCCAAGGTACATTTACAGAACTACAAGAATGACTTCTCTTACAATAATTCAGTTATAGAGACGACATAATGTTAGTCAAGTAATTTCCAGGAAAGACAGGTTTTTTTTCTCCTTACTCGGTAGAAGTTTTATGATCTGTTTCATTTCTTCCTCAAATCCAACCTCTAAGATTCGATCCGCCTCGTCAATCACCAAACACTGCAAGTTCTTGTACATAAAACCTGGAGTGTTCTAAAAGAGTAACAAACTGAAAGTCAGATGGGGACAAGAGTTTTATTACCTTCTATGAAAGAGGCATCGTTGTTTTTGTATACCTGCATATGATCCAGAAGTCTTCCTGGTGTTGCTACAATTATGTTGATTCCATTTCCAAGTTTCTGAGCTTCTGCTGATCTGTTACTGCCCCCCATGATCAGACCATAGGTGTGAACATGATGATTCATAAGTTCTTTAAGAACTCCATAGGTTTGCATGGCAAGCTCTCGAGTTGGTGAAAGAATAATAACACCTGTCCCTAAAACACACATCAATTGACTCAGGTTAAGTTCCACTTCCTCCAGTCCCTTTCACAGTCACATCCCTTAACATCTGGGTCACTACAAAATGAAGGAAATGCTTACCATTTCTAGGCATGAATTTTAACTTGTAGATGAGCTCCACTGCAGGAATGAGAAATGCAAGTGTTTTGCCGCTGCCTGTTTTGGCAGCTGCTAAAATATCCCTGCAAAAGGCAAAGTTAGAAGAAGAAGTGTTAAGGACATCCCACAGAGAAAAAATAAATCCTATTCTGAATGATATTGACTACGTGAAAATGTAACATGGTTTTAATCTAACTAAAATTAAGTGTCCCGTGACAGATAAGGTTCACAGCTTGGTCTCTTATTTCTCTTATTTCTACAAAACACACTGATACAAGAGACTAATGAAAACAGATTCTACTGCTTTCAAAGCCAAATGCAAAGCAATTTCCATTAACTTACTGTAATAACTAGAAAGATCAACACGATTAAAAGGTGATACAAAAGGTGTAACGACACAGGGACTAATGCAATACAAAGATATCATAAGGAAAGGAAAAAGAACTGCTCACCACTTCCAAAGACCTAGGCTCACAGTGGAAAACTTCACCAAGGAGAGATCTCCAGAAGGAGATCCTTCCCCAGTGGCAGTCAGCCCTTAAATGAGGTCTAAGAGAGGTGCAGCCAGGCTCCACCCCTTCCAGCCTCACACATCAATTGCCTTCACCTGTGCTCCCAGGGCTGACCAAGTCCTTTCCCCAGGTGCTCAATCAGCGGTTCAGGCCGTGACTCAACAGTTCCCATACAACTTACCTTAAGTATTTGTTCACACGTAACACATACACCTCATTAATTTGTATTTACAACTACAAATGAAATATTTAAATTACAAAACAATGTTTCGAAAAGAGCGTAGCTCCAAGAAGTCACGTTTCTTCTACCTAATTTGTTACCATCATTTACACAACATTTGAGGTCACTATGGCAATTAAAAAGATATATTTCTTACCTGCCTTCCAGAAGAGGTTTAATACTTTTATGCTGAATTTCTGTCATGTGTGTGAAGCCCATATCACTGATGCCTTTCAATGTATTCTCACTTACAAGACCAGCAAGGGAAGTGAAAGAATTGTCTTCAAAGGCACCTGAAGAGAGAGAGGGAGAAAAACATTCACTAACTTCAACTCTGTCCATCCCAAGACTGCCCAGTAAGAAATTCACCTTACAAACAACTTCTTACAATTCCTTCCTACTGTAAAATTTTAAGATGCTAAAAACAATGCTCTGTATTAATGTATTCCCAGGGATGCCACAGATACCTGTTAAAAACAAACGATTACACTGCTTTTCACGCCAATTAGCAATGCAACTCTATTTAACTGGCCCTTCTTTCCATATTTAAATATGTGCAAGTATATTTCAAAACTGTTTTTCAAAAGTAATTTTAAGACCAAAACATGTACATATAATGCAAATTTCAAAGAACATTAGCTGAATGATAACACTGCAGCTGCCAGTATCACGTCACCTGTGTTCAAACACCAGGTTTTTAATGCAAATTTGAGAACCTGCTCTGGAAGAAAGCTTAAGAACTGGGATTTTTGTATACCTATGAAAAAAGAGAACACAGTATACCTGTTAGACCCAGAGGTAAACTGGGCACTTCATCCTCCTCTTCTGCTTCTTTTTCTCCAGAATCCTGCCCATCTTCACCTTCTGCCTCCACAGATAAGTCTTCTTCAGCTTTTGCTTTCTTAGTTTCTGTACCTAGGACAGTATTTTACAGAGGACAAGCCGTTCTCAGTGAGAGGTACGAGAAATACTTTTCTCATCCGAGGCTGTGCTGCAGACTGGCCTGCTTTACCCTGTAAATCCTTTGTACAGACATCGTGCGGTGGGAGGGATCAGGAGAAGGGGAGACAAGGTTTCTGTGGAGCTTTCAGACACAGACTGCACAAACGTACCTCCCTCGGGGCCAGCCGCAGCCTTCCTCTTCTTCTTCTTCCTCCTCTTCACCCTAGCGGCCTCAAGGCCCGGCGCTGCCCGCTCATCCTCCTCTGTCTCTCTCTCTGCCTCCGCCTCGGGGGCCGCCGCCTCCTTCACCTCCTCATCCTCCTCCGGGGGGCCCAGCGAGGCCCGGCCTGGGCACGGAGAGGGAAGATGTAGAACAGCCGTAAGCCGCGGCGCTCAGAGGCACAGGGACCGCCAGCCCGCCCGCCCCGGCCCCGCCGTACCTTCCTGCTCTGCAGCCCGCAGCTTCAGATTGCGCTGCCGCAGCTTCAAGTTCCTCTTGTGGATCTTCTTACGGAGCAGCCGCATGGGCAGGTTGCCCGCGGCCACCGACACCGACATCCCGGCTGCGCGCTGCCCGCCTCCCTCGATCACACGTGGGGACGCGGCCCCGGCCCAGCGATGCGCATCCGGGACGCGCCGGAACCTCGCCGTTCGGCTGCCGCCCCCCAGCGGCGCGGGGGAGGCAGTGCAGGGCTCCAGCTAGCCCAGCCCAGCCGTGCTATGGCTGGATTCCTGTACTACATGCCGGCTCCAGGGCATGGCTTCTTAGAGCTTTGCTCCCGGCTGCTCCTCAGCTCAGCAGGAGGCAGGATAGCCTTTCCTCCTCGTGTCCTCTTTCTTGCCTTTTCATCCTCATCCAGAGCAGTTCCTGCAACCTCCTTTAGATCCCTCTTGACCAGCAGGTGGCACAAATAGCACAGGAACTTACAGCAATTTGCTCGGGTTTCTTAAACCAAGAAAAGCAGTGTTCTGGAAATCTGAATTGCTACGAATAGGGTAATGCTCAGCCTGCAATTACCTGGGGCAAGGCACATTAAGCTCAGAATTATGGCTCTACTAACTTCAAAGTGTTTATTACAGGTAATTTTTTTTATTTATTTATTTTTTTTTTTAAGAAAGATACACCAAAAATGAAACAAATTTCATTTATAGAATCATAGAACCATTAAAGTTGGAAAAGACCTGTAAGATCATCTGCCCCCACCCACCCACACCACACCCACTAACCACATCCTCCACAGTTCTTGAACACCTCCATGGATGGTGACTCCACCACCACCCTGGGCAGCCAGTGCCACTGCATCACCAGTTTTTCGCAGAAGAACTTGTTCCCAATCTCCAAGTGGAATCCTCCCGCCCCCCCCAACACAGCTCAAGGCCAACACCTCTTGCTGTGCCTCTGGTCTTAGTGAAGAGCAAAGGGGGAACAGCAGCCCCTGCAGGATTTTACATTGCCCCCAGAGCTGCTAATGCCCACACCTTCCAACAGCAGTGCTGCTTCTGTGTGTCCCCACGTGGTCCATGCTGGATCATGAAACTCACAGGATAGGAGGAGAGAAGCTGCAGAGCAACCAAGGAGCATCAAGATTAACTGCTGGCCCCATCTCCACATGCAGCCTCGTGCCTCAGAATGAAATCCTGCAGCATCTCTGAATACTATCTTTCTTTTCATCATCCGTAATTATTGGTGTGCAGCTTTCACACACATTACCCAGATGAGACTTTTTTTTTTGCCAGAATTTCAAACTGCTGAAAGTTACATAACATTTTAAAATTTCTTTCATTTATTAATAATATAATGTAGTGGAAATATTAGGTCACTGCCTGAACCAGTTATTGAGCATGTGATGGGAAGAAAGGGCCAACTCAGAGGAGTTCAGGTGTACACAATATACCTGAGTGACCAGAAGGGAAGGAGCCAGGATCCATTCCTTCCCAGACCTCATTTAAGGGATGGTAGTGGAGGTGAAGGTATTTCCTGGGAGGTCCCTCTATACTTGAGGTCTTTTGAAAGTAAGTAGCATGCTTACTGCTGTTGTGTCTGTGCAAGTCCTCACTTGCTGCAGCCTGAGACCTTGCTGCTCCATTGTCATTACTGTACTTTCCATTGCATTATATATACATACATTCAAATTAGCAATAGCTACTAGACCTGTACAAGAGAAAGACAGGAGATGCCGCTGTTCTTCAACAATCATAAGAAATTAAGACAATTCCAAAAAAAATATTGTTGTTTATGAAAAGCATATGGAAAGAGGAGGAAGAATTAACACTGAAGATAATTTAATCTCAGCGGGTATTGCTGGAGCAAGAAAAGATGTCCCTATTTGGACATCACTGAAATAAGACTGAACAAATTGGTATTGTAACACCTTTATGCTTTATACTTGAAAGTGGAACCTTGCAGGTGAACAAAGGCTTCACAAGAAACAAAACTACCAATATTTTGTTTTTCAGTTTAAACAAACTGAAACAAGAGATCCCCTTGGCTGATTCTTTCTCTAAGTTATTTTCTGTCCCAGGCTCACATTAAGCAATGCTGAAGAGTAACCTGGACTCCAGGACACCCTATAGCAGCACATTTTTGCTGTTTTAGTCCATCTCTCACTTAATTACCTTCAGAACTCTATTTCATAAATGCAACTAGTTGCTGTGGGGTAGAATGCATTGCATATCACTTGCAGCAGACTTCACAGGCGTTCACTGTGAACATTCCTGGCAGTTTGAAAAGCATGACCTCTAGCTTGGCTGTTGAGCTGCTCTGCTTACAGATGCGACACAAACTGTGAAGCAAAAAAGGTGACCAGGTCCAAACTGGCCACTGGCATATTAAATAACGAGGATATCTGTGTGTAGGCACATCAGTCTCCATTAGATGTGTTTTGAAAAATAAATTGAGCCATCCTCACTCATCAAGAAAGGCTTTTGGTACAAAACTCTAGGGAATGTCATGTCAAGGATGAATTTTAAGCAGCTTCTTGCTGCAAGTCAGTGTAGTTTAGGTTCTGGAAATATATTTCCATATTTCCTCCCTGCCTACCTTACATCGTGCCTACAGAATATACTTTTAATTAGCTAAATATTTGTTCTTTCTACACTGTGCTGATTTATAGTTACATGGTTAGATTCACTATTTGGATCCTTCTGAAACATTGTCACTGAGCAAATAGAGTGAATTAAAAATCTGGACAGGAGAGAGCTGACACCAATACTTATACTGAGGGCAGAGAAAATTACCTTCTTCAAGAACAGGATGATCTATGTGTTCTTATCTCAGCCAGCACTGTCAGGGTCATCACCATTTAGCTTTCATCCACATCACCACACTCTCGATCTGCCAAGATGTTGGACCTGGAAAATGTGTTCTGTTAAAACCCCATATGAGGAACTCATCTCAGTGTCCCCACTAGGCACAGGTTGACTTGGCAAGAGTTTGTGAAACTGCATTAGTGTGGCACAAGGCCCAAACTGACAAATGCTTCTGTGAGGTATGTTAGATCCCCCTGACCAGGATATATGGGATATACACCAATCATCTGTCAACACAATTTTACAAGTTTTCTTTTGTTGGCAGGGAGCAGAAGGAAAACGTCGATGCATTTGCAGAGGAATGATAGTTTTGCATCTGCATAGGCAGATATCGTGGCATTATGTATGGGATATGGGACTTTGGAAATTAGATTCCATTAGGTGGCTACATATCATATGCTCCAACACAGCACAGTCCCCATATCTTGTAAAAGATATTGCTTAGAGTTTACTTCACTAGCGAGTTCAAAACATGTTTTGAGCTCTATCCTTTTTCTTCAAGCAGAAACTGTGGGAAAAATGACAAAATCAGAAAGCAATAATGTACATTTCTTAGTGACAAGTCCAGACAATACTTGAAATGATTAATTTATCGTACTATTTTCTGAAGTTTGGCATTTCCTAGATTTAGCAAGAATTCCCTGTGGTACATAAGTTTCATTTCTACCCATAGGTTCATTAATAACTGCTCGACTTACCAGGCAGTCTTTACTAACAGTAGGATTTTTTTAAATTATTATTGAGTTGCTGTCAGAACATATCAGATTTTCTACATGTGATCTTGCAGGCAGAACTGTAGGAGATCATGTTCTGTTTACCTAAGCTTTCTGAAGTTGAAGGATTCCAAATTAGAGACTCTGAATCTCTGAATACAAATGTTTTCAATATCCTAGTGTGTTGTCAATGGCACTATTTTGAAGCCAGATTTAGAATGTTTGTTCTCATTTATTCTTAAGTTACTTATGCTAGTTGAAAGTGCAACATGAAAGTAATCTTTGAGTTCAGCTGCATCATTTCATATAAATCATCATGATGTATGTGAAAAGTATCAATCTCATGCAGAAAAGATCACAAAAAACTCATAATTTTTACTGCTTAAATATGGCAAACAGGGTCAGTTTTCAAAAATATCTCTGAAAAGAATCTTTTTATTGTCATAGTTGGCTATGAAAAAACCATCAGCAATGGCACTTGTGAACATCTGCACCATTAAACTCGAAGAGTTAAACTAGAAAATCAGTTCTTCTATGTTCTGCACCCACAAAATTGACAACCTTTCAGAACCACTGTTTCAATTTTAGAGATGATAGTTTCTGCTCTTAGACCAAATTTATCTTTCAGACTAATGAGTTCTGGATAGGCACTGAGTTTAAAATCAGTTTTCATATAGACAGGTATAAGGTTTATTTTCTGCAAATGTGTGTTATGCACGAAAGTCTGTATACGTATGCAAGTGTGTCTGCAGAAATTATCACTTTCCCACTTAATCGACACATTCAATTCTAAAACCTGAACTTTGGAAAAGTTACCCACTGGAACTGAGCTAAAGGTAGAGGTATATCAGGATATATAAAGATACGTTACGTAAGAAATAGATGACATGATTAACAGAATGGTAGTGAGAGCTTGAAAATTGCTGGTTAGAAATTTCTAACGCTAACTACATTTCTGTAGGTTATCATTGACTATCACTGAATTCGGAAATTTAACACACACCTCTGAATTCAACACAGAATTAGCAAATCTATGTTCATAAAAAGCAGATCAGGATGTCAAGTAACTTTTTTTTTTTTAGGATTTTAGTTCAGTATTGCTTCCAAATAATGTCTCCCTCATGGGCCATATATGGAGTTATTGTCTCAGTTTTAACTGACATCATCAGCACTGTGTAGCATGAAGCATACAATTGGGTCCATACCAAATGGAAGGTTTGGTTTTTTTTTTTTGTTTTTAGGAAATTTCTCATTTACCCCATATTTTAAAACCTGAGCAATGCTGTGCATCAATTGTAAATGCAGACTGGCATGGCCCTGAATATGTTCCAAACCAGAACAAACCTACAGTGAGAGTGAAAAGAGGAGATGGATTGGATTGTATTTCATAAAATATCTTGTAGATTTCTGCATAGCTTTCATGGATTTTCTGGAACTTAAAGCTACTCTAGCACTTCTGAGAAGCAGTTTGGTATTTCAGAACATTGGGCCAGAATGATTGGTATTATTAGTTGATTAAAAGGAAGACAGTATTTTGGAGTCAGAGTAACATGGATCACACAAAGATGAGGAACAGAA